TTGCGAATATAAAGCAATTGCGATATTTCAAAATCCAACGTTGAAATTCAACATTACATTATAATACTGCACAGAACACGAGAAGGAGAAGAACCGACGGCGACAAATCCCGGCGGCGTCTCGTTTTGCAGGTGAACCGTCGTCGCTATACACGATATTATATAAAAGTTATATTTTTATAAAGTAAAAAATTCGCAATAAAAAAAAAAAAAACCCTCACTCGCAGACGTAAGCATACCTCCCGTCGTCGTTAATGTTGGAAGGTAACGGAGCGAGGGGGTGGGGGAGAGGGCACCGATAAAACGGACACTCGACGCGATTTTCTCGGCTCTCGGAAGAAAGGGAGAAAGAAAGAAGGAAAGAAAGAAAGAAACGAAAAAAAAAAAAAAAAACAAAAATAAAAAGAACGGAAAACAAAAAGACATTCTTGTTTGACTGCAGTACGACAGACGGACGGATGACTATATAGGTACACGTGTATATATATACACGTAGGTAAAATAATACGTACAATACGGTGACGACGCGACTTCTCTTATCAAAGGATACGGTTTAATCCGACTAAATGAAATTCTACTCGGTGTCTTATATATATATTATTATTTTTATCCTTTATTCTTATTAATTACCGGTGAACATCCCGTATCTTATACGTATATTGTGTGTACACGTATATATATATAGCAGCGACGGCGACGAGAAAAAGAGTACCGAGCGAATAGAAAAAAGAAAACTAATTAAACTTCACTATACTTCGCCGTATGTATTGTACGCCCCTAAGTGCGTCATCGTTTGACCGGTACCGCCGCCGCCGGAGACTCGAACGATTCGTTAAAGTCGAATTTTCTAACTGCGCCGTACGACGATCAAAACGTCCTCGGACCGTTCGGATGTCGCGCGTCAAACGGGGCGTCTTGGAGTAGTGCGTTATAGACGGGGTGCGGGGGTGGTTTCCGGAAAATAACTCCTCCCCGTTTGTTTTTACGGATATCAAAGCAAACATTTAACGTTTCGCCGTAATCGACGGTTTCGTTAAGTACGACGTTGTTCGCGTCGAGTCCGAAAGAACTCGACGAGATTTTTTTTTTTTTTTATGATTATCTAACAATCATACAGGTAATGATTGACATTACGATTTTAATGCCATTTACCGTGCCGACATGTTACTGACTGACCTGAACTCGGATTTTCAAATAGCCAATCATAATTTCACGAATTCCTATTAGCGGAAAGAAGACACTGCACACCGTTCAAGCCGTCGGAGTTATCTACATTTTGGATAGACGATTTTCGATTGCCCTTGCATTATTTTTCCGGTCTAAGTTCCAAACGGTTTAGAACCCGTGTAAACGGTAGATGGTGTATCGTATGTGCACAATCGAATAACAAGATAAGCTGCTGCAGCGTATTGCGTGTATGCGGGTGTGGACATTTTTTTTTTTTTTTAAAAACTATCACCGAAAAAACGGACGAATTAACCACAGAGAAAAAAAATAAAACCGAAAAAAAAAAAAAAACAAAAGAGAGAATCTTCGCGGATAACCGATAATCTCGAAGGTCCGCGATACGCCCGACAGAATCGTCCGCGTCCGGCAGCCCGCGCGTTAAGATATTTTAACAGCGCAATCGTCAAATAAAAGCGGAGCCGCAGACGCTGTACAACATTATGTCCGCCAGTTTTACCGTTTATTAAGTAAACTACGATAGGAGGATAATAATAATAAAAAAAAATAAAAAACGATATCCTCGATGTATAACTGATTAAAAAAAAAAAAAAACGCTACAAGTTCGTCCGTACAAAGTTTTTGTTCCGAACAAGATTTCTGGTAGATAAGTTGTATACAGACATACACACACACACAAAGAACCCATCGTATTATAATAAAACTGTGAATCCAATACAATTCGCCGAAATTAAAAACTGTATTATTCTGCTTATTATATTATTTAAAATATTTGTGCACGCTTTTTGTACAGTTATCAGAATTATTTAACTTAAAAAAAAAAAGAGAACATTTTATAACGGAAACAAATTTAAAATAAAAACTCGAACACGCTTCGCACTGTGGATAGACCGCTGCTGTACGGGGAAAGTTGTTATCGGTAAATTACTTATAACGAAAGCGACCCCGCAAATCATTGCAATGGAAAAAAAAACGATTCAAAGCGCACTGCGATACACCGGTAATGTTAGTTAGTTATTTCTGTTTCGTTCGCATGACCGAAGATAACCCGAAACGAAACAATTCGAATCTCGAACAGTTTTTCGTTTAGGCGTGTCTTTTGATGTGGCGCGAGTGCGCACGGTTAGGGGGAATTCCAAAAAGGGTTTTCCGAGTGGGAAAACACCAAAACATTACAGTGCCGCGAGAACCGTGGCCTTCGGACTCTAAGAGAAATTACGATTTTTAACCCGTTAAAAAAATACCGTCGAAAATGGCGAATTTCTCAGGGGTTTATTTGATTTGTGCATTTTGTCTGTATGCAAAATCGCGCGCGGCGTTTTTCTCGAATGTAATAAAAGCGCGAAACGGGCTCGATCGTATCGCGCGTTTGAATGATAATTTTTCCGGGGAAAAACAACGGAAAAAAAAAAAACACAACACAACAAAATATTAAATTATACCGCTCGGCGATAGGGTCGCGCGATACCGGGACAGGTCCTGCACCACCCCGGGATAGGTCGGTCGATAAATTAGATTTCCAATCTCTATACAAGTCCCGCATATATATATATATATATATATATATATATATATATGTGGGTGGGTGGGTATATACCTATTATGTATGCGGATGTGACGGAATTTCTCGCCGCGGCTGCGGCGGCGGCGGTGGGATACGCGGACGGGATCGAGGGCGGCCGAGTCCCCGCGCGTGTGTACACGCGTATACGGCGGCGCCCCGCGCGAATATCGGTTCGGACGACACGGAGGATAAAATCGGGATGGCCGCGCCAGTGCTTCTGGACGGCGGGACGGTGGGACGCGCCCGCGCGCGCGCGCGCGGCGGCGGCGGTGCACTATGTATGTGTATATATATATATATATATGCACGTATAAGTATACGCGGGGGGATGAATATTGTATGCGACGGGGTCGCGGAATAAATGACCCGTGGAAAAGACCGCGCCGCCGCCGGACCGATTGAATTCGGTCGTCCCGCGAAAATAATATCGCCACCCCTGTCCCGGTGTACACGGTACACGTATAAATATATACGCCGAACGAAGGCAATAACTCGGGAGAGCGAAAAAAAAAAAAAAAAAAAAAAAAAAATACGTCCCGGGACGCGTGGGAAACGATGCGGACGGGGGTCGGGGGAAAAAAAATGGTATATAATCTTAAATGGAAAACCGATGATGGATGTTTGTCGGGATATTAGCATCAGTGGCGACGGCGGCGGCGGAACGTCTCGGCTCCGGCCGTCCGCCGCCGCCGCCGCCGCGCGTGCGACGTGGAACACTCGCTCATCATCCGCACGTCGTCGATCCATCACGCACTCGTCCGGGGGTGACGACAAATCCGTAATCGCCGCCCCTGATATCGCCGCTCCCTACCCCGCACACGCCGCGCGCACCCTGTTCACCGACGTCGCGTATACCATGCCGGGGTGAAAAAAAAACACACATTTTTTTTTTGTCCTTTATTTCCTAGCCCACCCTACGCCCGTCCGGACGCAACTACGCGTCGTTTGTAACCGATATTATTGCGACGATCCGGCGCGTTGGAGGACCCGGCCGAAAAACCGCGTCCCCCACCCACCGCGCGGGCGCGTATACGGGGTGGTGGCCCAATCGTCGCGCGTTCGAGTGCCGCGCGGCCGCGTCCCGCCGCGCGGCCCGGCCGCGACAGACGGCATTGTTATTTTTCGTCGTCCGTGGCGTCCGACTGTTGCGCACCGCGAAACGATATTGCCGACCTGACGATTATTGCGTGTTTGCGTTGTAGTGCCGCGCGCCGCGGTCCGCCGTGTTTCCAATCCGAACGTATTATTTCGTAAACGTTTCTGGTCGACCGAACGGTACCGTAATATACCGGCCGACCGCCGGGACGCCACCGACAACTCCCTCCGCCCCCCGCCCCCCCGCGGGGCACGTAATAACCGTAACAATAATAATAACAATGAGCGACCGGGAGGGCCACACGCGTGAATATTCCGGGGACCGACAGAAACGGGTAAATAAATAATCGCGAGAAAACCGCCGCCGCCGTTTCGTGTTTTTTTTTTTTTTTTTCTCTCGGCCCTGCGCCGCGCCGCCGCCGTTCGCCGAAACGGAAAATAATACGAACGGCGGCGGAGGCGGCGGAGGGATTTTCCCATGGCCGCCGATCTCTTTGAACGGGTTTTTTTTTCCGCGGACGGTTTGGCGACTCGTCGTACGACTCGAACGACTTCGGGGAAAATCGGTCGCTCTGGAATGTTTGATAATCACGCGCCCCGGAGGCCGTGGGCGAAAACGCGCCGGTGTAGGATGTTCAGTAGATATAGAGGTTGATTATAGGTCGCGGAAGTACGTGAACGGAGATGGGTAAAGTGACGGGACTAGAGCTTTGGCCGAGCATGGGCAACATTCTGTGGAGAGGTTGGTTACGACGACCATACGTGGTGAGATGGACGGGAACGGAGAGAAGGGAACTGTGTCTCGTAGATCGGACGGGAACACGAAGAACACACAACGGGCCACAATTTTTTACCCACCGCGATTTGACTATTGTTTAAGTATAATGAACAGCGGCATCTTCCCCGCGTCACCGACTCCCATTTTGCCGATAAATAATGTTTTCATATTCCGACGCCCATTCCTCTAAAAACGCGATATTAATTAAACGGTTTTTCAAATACGTTCTTCAAACTGGTTTAAAATAATTTAACGATCTACGGTTTTATAAACGAACTCGAGTCGATTGTTCTGTAATCCGATTATTGATGAAATATTATAATAATTATGTACGTTGATATTTCGTTTGATAAAAAAATATATATCGAACCAGTTGTCCCGCGGTCGGCGTTGACCGTGCCAATTTCACATTATTTTTGCATTTATTCCCGTTTTGCTTTGCCCGTATCGGTGTACCGAACGAAGAAAAAAATACGCGAAATTCGGATCAGTGGCGATCAAACAGCGTTCTAGTGTGTCGTGCATTTTTCTAATCGGTGTTTACGAGAGACACCTGCACAGCGCTGGGATCAAACTGTAGTGACGCAAAATATTACGAGAACATAAATAGTGCAGTGTAGTAGTGCAGTGTTGTTACTGTACCAAAAAAAAAAAAAAAATGCGAAAATACAAAGACGGTGTTTACCGTGTTTTCACTTTTCACTTATCCACACGGTACAAGCGCATAGTTTTTTTGTTCGTTATTTTTTTTTCTCATCCGTGTTATCAAGTTGGCCCGCCCTATTTCAAACCGATAATAGTCCGGCAGTCAGTTAGTCACCGTCAACTGGACTCCGCTCAAAATCGGCATTTTCGTGTAGCGACGGCTCATCGTCGCCGCTTGCGGACACGCATCGAATAATTCCCGTCCGTCTCCTACCCGCACCGACTTTCCGCCCGCGGCGGCGACGACTGCACCGTTTTTTTTTTCCACGCGCAACGTACAGGTACAGTTGATTCAATATATTATTATACCATCGGCGTTATTGTACCGCGGTTCTCGGGGGTACCGGCACCGGATTGTCGTGACAACAACGATGACCGCGAACGGACCGGAAAGGCGCACACTTAAAATAATAATAAAAAAAAAAAAAACAACAGTTTCGTTCCGTTTCCTTTGTTTTTTTTTCTTTTTATCTAACGCGTGTAACCACGTGCTCCCCGTCGTACACTCGATCGTCGCCGCCCGCGCGCAGCACGAGTATTATTATTATTGTTGTTATCGTTGAAACGCCTATACTCTTCGTTCGTGTGTACGCTTTAATGCGTTTACAAAGATTCCGCGAGAGCGTACGCGTTTACGAACGAAGACTTTACGAAATGTCCATTATATATTTTCGACCGCGTAAAACGATATAACGTGCGTTATATATATATATATATATATATATAATGTGATATATGTTTTTGTTTTTGTTTTTTAACGAGTATTTATACCATAATACTACACGTTCGATAATCGAACGAGGTTTGTTGTTTTTTTTCTTCGTTCGTTCCGACGACGACGAAACGCCGTATTATTGTAAAACTCGGGTTTATACTTTATTTATCCGTTGGGGTTTTTTTTTCGGTTTTTAATATAGTATTAAATAGCATTTCACGCCAATATAAATAACGAAAAAAAACCCCTCCTCCCTCCCCCCGCGTCGGCGTAACAAATATTATTATTATTTTGCATATTAAACCACATCGCTCGGATTTATGTGTATAATTGTTTGGCGGCGGTATGTAGAAAAAAAAAAAACAACCTTCGGCGAAATAAAAATTCACCACAACGCGCTATATAATAATAACGTGCACTAAACAGGTGTACGTTATTTCCGTGACTCGAGTACATTTGACGAAAAAATCCCCCCCTTCCAAAAAAATATATCTAATAGTCTTTTATAAGGTACGAAAAAAAAAAAGAGAAAAAAAAAAAGGAAAATTATTGCACACCCCGAGTACCTGTATGAAAATATGTTTTTAAAATTATACGTATATATTTTTGTTACGTCTCACGACGGAAATCCAAACTGTTTTAAACGATATTGTTTCGATTGTACTGTATATTGGTATTGTTTTTAGTGTTTTCAACGTTCTGAGCGCAGCCCCACCGAAAATGTATCGGTTTGGCCACGCGCACGGGGGTTTGTTTTATTGTTTTCCTTTTGCGTACGACTGTTAACGGCCGTCAACTTTGCTTCCGGAAATCTAGTTCCGATCAAAAAACGACGAGAGAACTCTTCCCGTAGCGTTTCGGACCCGCGGACGGTGTATAATTATTGCACGAGTCAATTATTCTGTTCATATACCCGGGCGGTTGTCATAATAGTCGGGGAAAAAAAGCCGCACCTATCCAATGATAGACGGACGGCGGATAGTTACGGCGCGACGGCTTCTTTATTTTGAAATACGTTCGATTTCCGTTTTCTACAAAGCGTATTACTTCTGAAACGATTTATCGCTACGTACGCATGGAACGACTTTATGCTTTATGTATCCCACGCGTTAGAAAAAAAAAAGAAAAAAGTTTAGCATAATGTAGTCGTTTTTTTTTTTTTTACGCATATAAGCGTTTCTATTCAAAGTACTAACGAAAATCGTATACAAATTGTAGCGTTTCAAAACGCGTATACGACGGAACTTTGTTCAGAACCGTACTCCGTCGGAAACGATGTCCGTTATCCTCAAACGCAATTAATAACTCCTGTCTTGCGGACATTTTTTTCGTTCCGTTGTCAGTATAACGAATACGGGCGCGACTAGGAGGGCGCTAGAGGGACTTTTTCGTGATAACGAATAAATATTTTATCGTTGTATTTCGCCGTTGATGAGCAGAACAAAATGCAAATGTCCCGTGCACAGACAACGCATATCGCGTGTATGACGAACAATATGAAAACAGTTGCGACAAATGCGCGCGCGTAAATGAAACGTGTAATTTTGCCTTTCGCAAGAGCCGTGCAGAGAGGTACGTGGGAGGAAGGGGGGTGGAGGGTGAGGGTTGGCGCGTATCCCTCGCGGGTCTTTGATGTGTTCGTGACTTCAGCGCACCCAAAGTTGGCGGTCCAGCGGCACCTGCGACGGATTAACGCGGGCCGTTTCCCACACACCGCGCGCACGCTGTACAGCGCGCAATAATGTGTCCGTAGTCCTGTACGATCCGCAACAGGTTTCAATTTTCTTCGGGATCAAAACCGTGTTTACATCCGGAATATTAAAACACGGGAATTCGCAGCGCGCACTACCCGTGATGTTATGACCCCGCGCGGTGTTTGCGCCGAGGACAATCGACCTGTACGGCGTTCGGTCGGTGTTCGCGGGACTCCAAATGTACATTATTATTATTATTATTGTTGTTATCATTATTATCGTTATAATGTCATAAAATTTTAGCCGCGTGAAATTGACGTGTTGTTTTTTCTTTTATTGTTATTATTATTATTATTATTTTTTTTTTTTTTGATATTTTATATTTCAATTTGATTTCTGACACATTTTTTGAACCGCTGAAAATCAAATATTTTCCAGCGCCAATATCCCACCATTTCATTACTTTCATTCAAAACACAATGCGCCGTACCGATTTTCCGTTTACCGATTCGACCTTTTTACCTGTAAAAAACACAACGCGATCGCGTATTTTTTCAACATTTTAAATTTGACGAAACAAATAATGATATAAATATCGGTTTGAATTATGATAGTTTTGAGAAATTCACACGCACAATAATGTCTACCGTATACAGGTGCAATAGATAATATTTTACCGCTGTGATCATACTGACGGTCGTGTTTTCCAACGTGTCGTTTTTAATCGACATGATATTTTTGTTATAATTATTTATTTTTGACTACCTGTACCCGTGTAATCGCATGATTTCTCGGTTATAACTCAGGACCATGACGTGTTCGAACGGATTTCTAATAACGTGTTTGAGCGAGTGCGTTGTGTACGATGTAACATATAAACGATAAAATCGCAAACAACGAGTCGGACTGAAACACACGTGTCACAGAATACCCGCGTATAATATTATAACTATTCACAATCGGGTTTTCCGTGCCGTCAATCAGATAGGATTCAAAACAACTGCGATTTCCTCGTAAGTATAACGACGTTGGGCATCGATTTAAACTTAACAATTTATAGTTGTTCGGGTTCGCTCGAACGCTGGGAACGTGAACTCGTGTTTTAGCCGTTGGCGTTTAGTTTGCACCAAGTACGGATCGTAAAACCGTAAAACCGCGCGTGCCATACACGACGGAACGAACGACGGTGCGTTTCGGTTGAAAAACGCGTTCGATCGTGCCGCCGCGGAATTTACAAACGGCGCCTGCGAGTCTGCCGAACGGAGAGGGGAAACGGATCGTTTTTGTAAAAGTCGCCCGAACTCGTCACGATGTGAAATGGTCGCTCGTCCGAAAGCGTCGATGGGAAATCGGCCGGACACAACGGCGAACGGCCCGTTCAAAGTCGAGCATGCGGCGTGGGCGTGTGCACGCGCAACGCGGATCGACTCTTGAGGGCTTTTGGTCGGACAGGCGATGAATCGCGCGCCCGACCCGCGCCGTGTACGGCCGTCGCCGGTGAACGGACGAGGAGAGCGCTTGATTTTCATATTTTTTTTTTTTATTATCGTACGGCCGCCATAGTTATAGTAATATTGTTATTATGCAAATTTCATTACGTTAATATTTGTTTTGACTGAAGCGGCGGCGGCGGCGGCGGCAGTGTGTACTTGCGTCGTCGCGTCACAATCGTAACGATGCTTTTTGCGAAGTGCAACGGCAATATTGTTTGACTAAAATTTACATACATTACATTCATTATATGTATAGATACAGAACGGTTCGCGAAATCGTCAGCACACCCGAGAATGAATGTTTAATTAAAAAGGTAAGTTTGCACGCGGGTAAGTATATGTCCCGCACACACACAGTGGCGTGCCCGGAAATTTCCAACGGGACGGCAGGGCAAATAATAATCACGGTTCGCAAAATCGTCTTTATATTTTGTTATACGCCTCACTTTAGCGCGCAGAGAACTTTAACCGGAACGACCGGAATTAAAAACCCGGTTTTCTTCATTCGATAACTCGCCTTACAAACATAAATAATTTCGGGATAAAACCGCTAAATAAACATTCGTATTTGTCGTATTTGTATGCGGGCCGTGACCCTAAACGCCATCCCGCTCCGTGTGTGAGTTTTTGTCTAGACGGTGTCGGACTGACGGCACTTCGACACGGGTGTACATAATAATCGCGCGTGAGGTAAATTGTCACAAGGGCCGCGTCTGAGTTTCGTCCTAATAACCTTTTTTTTTTTTACACCGATTTCGTCCCATTTCTAATCATTGTTAGCGTACACAAATGTTAAACACAACAAATCCAAACGCAATAGATACATTCATAAATAAAACTTTGATATTGGATTAAATGTATACGATACGCAAAGAAAAATAACAATTTTGTGTAGACATTTTTCTTGTCAATGTTAAAATACACAAGAAATTCAAATCATATTTAAGCACCAGTGTATACCTACGAATTCGATTATTCGGTGCGACAACTGACGGCAATATTAGCTTTACTTCCGAATAATATAAAAAATTGTCACCGTAGTCGCGCATTGTACACCGCATTAAAATGGCGAAGAGAACGCAAAACGGGACGGAGCTAGTGTGGTCCTTAAATTCAAATTTCGGATTTGGGCCGGAACTCCGGGTGCAGCCGTCACAATCCCGCGGCGCGCATGTACACCCTGTACATACGTATGCGCGTGCCAATATACCGCTCGACTGTATATTTATTTTGGTTTTCAACGCCGAATCGAACGGCGGCGTGTACAGTAAACATTCATAGGTACCTCGCACAACGCGTTCATTTCTTTTTGTTTTTCCGTCGCTTTACGGTCGCGAAGTCGCGCGACGGAATGTAAATAACAAAGAGAGAGGCAGAAATATACGAAAATGGGGGAAAAAAAAAAAAAAAAAAAATGGGCAAATCGTTTTGTATTTACCGTATACAATACATATACAACGACGACGACGACGACGAAGACGCCGCGGCGGCGGCGTGCGGTCGCTAACCGAACACGTTTCCCTTCCCCTCGCCCGTTCTTATACATTATCTTCGCCGTACAAGATCGTAATCGGCGCGTTTATCCCTCCCCTCTCTTCCGACCGCCCAGCCGCGTAACACCCGCCCGTTCTCCACGCGTCGGTTCGCCCGCTCTCTCCCGTTCCCGCCCCTCCCGGCGATCCGCGACCCGCCGCCGGGTACCCCGCGGAATCCGCGCATTCCTTGCGCGGCCGCCGAAGAAGACCCGAACGCTTTACGGAGAAAACCGTGTGCGCGAGAAAGATTGCAAACAACGGCGGACGGGTAACCGTGCCTCAAAAAGTTAAAAAGTCACACGTTACGTTTTTCGATAGCTTTTAACTCGACTAGGCGGAGGGGGGAGAGGGGAAACACGTCGTTATAGAAAACATCATGCGGGTTAGGAGGTCTATCGACCTGCGCGTTTTATTGTCCGATACGTAATTCCCACTCGATTTGGTTATTTTGTTTTGAATGTAAGTTATTCGAGCTGTTTGTGGTTGTTTTTCGACGGAAATTGCGTGGTTTTTTTTTTTTCTTCCGGCAGTGAAACGCGACATCATAATATTGTCGCTGCAGAGTCGATTCGGTTTAGTTAGATATTTTGAAATACGTTTTAATTGGGTTTAGCTGTTTTCGGATTCTGAGCGGTACGAGTAGCGGCTATACTATCATACGAAGTGTTTTTCGTGTCTGAAAACGATTCGATCGCCGGAAATCGTGTTCCGGTCACGAAAGTTTACGAGACCGTTCGTGTAGCGTTTTCGAACGTGTCGGCGCGTCGAGGAAGGTTTTGTTATTATTATTATTTTTTATTATTTTTTATTTTCTCCGTCGTGTTGATAACAAACGGGAAAACCGGAAATTTTTCGCGCGATTTTCGTTAATTTCCGGATTGACTTCCGGCGGCGATTAAGACGCGACTGTATGTGTACATAGTAATACTCCGTTCAGAATCGTTTTTCGTAAGCAACGGTTTATCGGAACACGCCCCTTAATGACATAACGGTACGGACCTTTGGCGTTCAGGGTAACTCGGTATAGGTGAGGAGGGGGGGGGCTGGTGAATCCCGTCCGGATTTCATTAGTAACAACACGGCGACGGGTATTATAATAGCGCTGCGGCAAAAAGACGGCCGATACAAAAAGGCCGTGCCCGCGACGTCGTCGCCCCGTAGGATCTCGTCGCGTCGTCGTTTATACCGCGGGACTGCGCGGGGCGCCGGACGTCCGGGACCGCGAACGGGCGCACGGTCGTGACGTGCAGCGTAACGTCCGGTCGGCCGGAATCCCGGAAGTCCCGGCGTCCCGAGCCCCCGCAAGTCTCGAGACTCGTTGGACGGCACGGCCGCGGTGCGGGGCCCGGCCGCGAGCGCGCTACGATCGCGTCCCGGAGATAACGAGACGATTTATACGATCCCGTTATGTTATTATGTGCAGGTTCGACGGCACTGCCTTCGGTCGTGTCCGCCGCGAACGACGGTATCTTTCGTAAATTAGACGTGTGTAAAAAATTGAAAAAAAAAACCCCATCATAAACAATGCCGCGCCATATCAAACAGCATACCCGCAAAACGAGGCGGGACGGTCGACGATAAAAATGGGAACGCGCGCCGCCCGCCAGTGACGTAATTTTAAATTTTATTATGTATTGGTTTTACTGCAATGATTTTTTTTTTTTTTTTTTTTTTTGATTTCGTCTCGATTTACAATGATAGCACAATTCCTATATCCGAAATGATATCTGTCTAGGGCAGTACTTTAAGGAAGTCATTTTTTTGATTTTCCCAACAAACAGGAGGGAAACCGGGGGAAAAAGTAGGAAAATAGGTAAATATTAAACAAATACAATAAATGTAATGCATAACATGTAATTTTTTTACTTTAATATGATACGACAAGTGTATTATTGACAAAGCGACACTATCAACCGAACTCCGCTCAGCATCGGTTTATTATTCATTAGCGATGATCAATCGTTGCGTACATACATATATTCAATTTCCCTTATACTAAATTCACAACAGTGGTTGCGCCCGTCACCATTATTCTATAGGACAGCTTTTTAATATACAAAACGGAAATCCGAGCGGTCCCGAAATTGAATTCCGCTTAGAATCTATTCCGGATTGAATATTATTCGGCCGCTGTCCGTCCAGACGATACGCGTACGCGGTGAACCGTTTTAATTATACGCACTCGCTTTTAAACCAATATGGAGGCTGGGATATATCCGGTCGGTCTGAAGTTTACAATTTACGTTTTTAGGAAAATTCGAATTAAAAATATAGCGCGGTTTCAATAATATTAGTGTGTTGGGTTTCGCCGCAATCGGAGGCGAACGATCAGTGTTGAAAGCGGTCCCGAAAATAATAACTGTACATTTCGGTAGCTCCGATATTATAATCTCGGTCTGGAAAAAATCCCCCGATTTCGTTATTAAAGTCTGTATTCGAGTTATTATTTTTATATTTTTTTTTTCTACGCGCGAAACGCGCGAAGCGGCCGCGGTACATAATGAAAATTCCAAAGTAAACAATAATTACGTCTCGATAAAATATCGCGGGCGATGACGTATTTTTTTTTTTTTTTTTTTTTTTGTACCGTTTTGTAGGTGTTATTGTTCGCGAGAGAATATTACAAAATGTAAATCTCGTGTACAGCACGACACACACCTGCGGTCGTATCGGCGTGAACTTTAATATCATATTGTTTGTGCGTTTGACTGTTGTTCGTCAAACCATCGTCGTCGTCGTGGAATGTCGTCTCGGTTTCCGCGTATCATTAATTTTATCGAATATTTATTTTGGCTTGCGGTCAATGCGAACGGTCGTATTATTATACGAAGCGGCGGCTGTAGATAAATATATGTGTGTATTATATTATACAGTTTACGTCCGAACAATACCGAATTATTCGGTCGTCTTTTGTGCCGGACAACAAGCAGATATCGACGTATCGTACAAGAACGAGAATAATTGGGATCGTTCGGCGTCAATCGAGCCGCAGTAACGTTCCGCGTGGCGGTTTTCGATCGACAATTTTTTAAAACAATCCCGGTGTAACGCACCGAATCCCCTGCATTGTCAACATCATTAACAGGTTAAACTCGAATAATGGGCTTCATGTCGAATAACGAGTGATTTCCACCACCACCACCAACCCCCCCCCCCCCCGCCGGTTTTGAGGATGTACGAATTTCAAATTCCGAATGCCACGGAGTTCGATTCCATCGAACCTAATGCATCCTCGTTGGGAAATACGCGTTCTACTTTGATGACTATACGGAAAATAAGCAAATTTGAAAAATATTGATTGATGGAAATCGTCCGTACCCCATTGAACGTTTCTGAACACGCTCCCGTTCAAACCCTCTATTATTTCAACAATAATTAATGTTGTCCAATGAAAATATACCATTTAGAGTGACGAAATTTTCAATAAGAGAGGATCGATCCACCGGACGCCCCCGTTCCCAGGTATCCACCACTTACTCGAATAAATATACCATATTAATATTGCAAGTACGAATCGTGAAGTTTGTCGAATGTGGTGTTTTGTTAGTTTTTTTGCCTCGGTTATTTTCCCCCTGGACTCCTCGGATTACCGAAAAATATACATGCATACCTATACAGTTAAATGTCGTTAATACCACGTCGTCAACCAATCATTAAACGGAAAATGATATTCGTGCGGCTCAGAAATCACCCCGGGCCAAACCATCGTTGCGGGACGCTTCTCTATCGTATTATTTAATCTTCTCTCGTTTCCCGTTTTGGAAAAAAAGAATACATGTACCAGCCTATAAATATAATGTACCGTATGTACAATATATATTACGAATCGCGTGAAATCGGACTGCTCTCTGGCGGCCCGAAGGCTCGAAACGTTTTTTTTTTCTACGTATTTTTATACTCGTCGGAGTATAAGAAAATAATAATATAATATCGACGGTGCTATGCAGCTATTGCTCTCCAGTAGTTCGATGCGATGCGGTCGTATAAAGTAGTCGGTTTTCTAACGCCATCGTCAAGGACACAATACGAATGTATTATACACACATAGGTTTATATGCTCCGAGACAGAAATTATAAAGTAACACGCGGGTTTTTCGTTTCTTTTCTAAAAGCCCCGAGGGAGCGACGATACCCCCCAAAAAAAAAAAAAAAAACGAGTAAAGGCGGTTCCGGGCGCAGACGGCACCCTATATAAACGCACGAGCGTGTATTATAATAAGTAATAACGCGACCGGGATTCGGGTTAAGTCCACTTAAGTATTCAATAAACCCGCCAACATAATGACACGACATCTATATGTGTGTGCGCACCGGTGTAACGTATACGGTGTGGGCGTGCGGATTCGGTTATTCTGACCCACGGCCAAGCCAACACACATTATACATATACCCCCGCGGCTCGTACCGACCCAATATACCTGTGTGTGATGTGTTACGATTTTTTTTACGTTTTTCTCCCTACCATTCTGGTAGTCGACTATCTTTGAAATTACCCGGTAATCGATACACCGGAGCCCGGTGCGGTGGTGCACCGAAAAAACGATAGGCGGGAATGATATAGTTTGGGTTCACATAAACCGGCTGCCATTCGGTCCGTCGGTTTATCCATCTCTCTCTTATTATTATTATAATAGGAACTAAACACTCCGACGATTGTGTTTTTTTATTATTAGTATTATTTTTTTCTTTAAATATGATTACACGTCATACCTATACATAGTATGACGGTATAATGACCGAGTCGGCGGTAAATATTTTTCGAACGCAGCCCGGTGCGGCGGCAGTGAAATTATTGTTATTTGTTCTGAAACTTGGGAGGATAATATTGTACAATAGTAATTTATTAAACGTTTAACGGGATCGGTACATACGAATTAATAGGTAGGTGTAACGAAAATCACCAGAAAAAAACACCCCTCCCCCCCCTTTTGATTTAGACCAATCGTGTCTACGTGTTATAACCCTTTCGATGTAAGATTTACGAGAGTCGATGTTCCAGGTGCGTTTATTTCGGTATTCAAATTGCATAAAACCGTTGGTTTAGTGGTTTAGTGTATTGTTAATAAAGCGATTCGAGGAGCATTTTTCGTTTTGTTATTTTCCGCGTTTGGTGGTTACGGTAAATAGGCCAAAATGCAAATGTGGAAACTCCCATTATATTATTATATAGAAATTATTAAAGTTGTTTAGAATATTTCTCAATAGTAAAATGTAATAAATTGTTATCGGTCTAAGAACAGCGTTCGAGATCACGGTCTCAGAAGGTCGGGACACAGGTGACTGGGTTATCAAACGCGACCGATAAGAGATAGGCAGTTTTAGTACCTAGTTGATCCGCTTTTTTTAATAGCGTGACGAGTGTAAATCTGTGCGTTACGTGGTTAAATTAAAAAAAACATAATTATTAAAATGTAAAATAAATAATAATAATATTAACTTTTTTCAAATTATTTTGGCAAACATAACATATAAAAAATAAAAAACTATATATATTCGACAGTTTCAGAAATTTGGCACTTAATGCAAACAAAAGTGAATAAACTAAAACTGCCTATCTAAAGATGGCAGGTTGGAGTAAGGATAGGATAAGAGTACATTAGAGGTAGCTTAGATGTGACTTGATATAGTAGAAAATGTACTGAGATGGTTTGGACGCGTCATGAGGAGAAAGGAATTTGAAGCAGTAAGCACTATAATGAAAACAAACGTAGGAGGAAAGTGATGGAGAGGTAAACTGAAAAAGAGATGATTGGTTGTGATTGAGAATAATACGAGGACAGCCTGTGTATGCAATGTGGGAGATCGGGTTTAATGGGAGTTTAGATAGAGGATAGAAGACCCCAAATAGTCGGGATGCACGCGAAGAAAAAGAAGAAAACTGCTTATCTAAGCGACCGCATATAATCGACACAGATGAGATAGCCAATGTTTCTACCTTATCTTCTCGGGCAATGGTTTGGAATAACACTATAGGTTTCAGAAAATTGATAAAGGGTCGAACACAATATTTTACCATAGCCAACGATAATCTCTCTTGAAGTATTATAATACCGTAGTTTCATGGTATTTTGGTTCGTGCGCGTACATTATGGCCCCGTCACGTGACTTTTCTGCTTCAAAATTTAATCCATCGGACATGGAATTTTCAATTTCCAATTCTCCTTTTTCCGGTGTGGTTTTTCGACGATTAGACGATTCAGGGTTTAAAAGCTGATTCAGACTTTACGGAGTTCTCTTTTTTTTTTTTTTTTTAGGTTGGCGGTATTGCTATGGCTCAAATTGCCTTTTCATACCTCTGACAATTATATCGGTATAGCTGATGATATACTATCGGTATTATTTAGCAATTCGAGTAACTGGATAGATTTTTTTTCTGTGAGGATGTGGTCGGTGCGGTGTATACGGTGTACACCGTTGAACGCACACGGACGTAAAACAACGTTAATTATTATAATTTTTTTGTTTCCGAAACAACAACGTCCCGGACCGCCGCCGCGAGTCTTTTTAACGGGTTATTTTTATGACGCCGATAAAAAAAAAAAAAAGAAGTCGAACGGTTCATTAGGTGTTAGGATACGGCGGCGGCGGCGGCGGCGGCGGCGACGACGTGTTGATTAATCGTTTTTAATTAGCCGCCCGGTTCGAATAACGCGAGATTCGCCATCGGGAGAAAATGTCTTTCCGCGGGACGGAAATACGGTTATACAGTGTGCGCGCGAAACAAGAGGGAACTGCGAGGCGTCGTTTTTAACCCCTGCCCACCCCCCCCCCCTCACTCTTACCGCCTACACCGGTTTTCGCGCCACTCGATTTGTTTACGACAACCTATAATAAGACCGGCGTTTAGACGGCGGGGCCGCGGAGGGGGCGACAAAGGGATACGAGTTTTATTAGTTTTCGCATTTGCACATTTCGTTACGACCTTTATTATTATTGTATATATAATATACGCCGTATATACACGTATATATACATCGGTCGTTCGGGGCCATTAGAAACGTTTGCAAGGGCGACAAATGTATTATACGGGAGCGTATATATACACACACACGAGCATAGTGTAAGTCTCGGCGTTATTTAGGCGCAAATCCGCCGCGTATTATTATTTTTATTATTTGAGCCGCCGGAAATATTATACGGCGTGCAGCTCGCATTTATAATATAATATACTGCACGCGATATTCCGCGCGCGCTAATCCGGACCCTCTGTCGTTTTCCGGACGCACATTTTCGGCACGTTTCGCGCGAGTACGTTGCACGCGTAATACGAGGCCGAACGTCGAGGAAAACCGAAAAGAAGTCACGAAATCGGAACGGTCGCGGATACGTACACTCGGGCCGCAGCTGCAGGCGCGGGGCGCGAACGGTCCCGAGTATTATGACACGACCGTAATAAGTCTGCAGGTCCGGTCCGGCGCGGCGGTGACGATAATAAATATAATTCGAGCCCCGACGCGTGTCGTCGGATTTCGCGGCGTGTGGGGAAGCCCGTTACATCCCGTGTCGTCTACTATACATACTTTCCGCAAAACTAATCCGGACCCTCTGTCGCGCCCTCTGTCTGTTCCGCGATGACTCGTCGACCGGCTAAATTACCGTGCGGCTAAACGCCGCCGTCCCTCTTGTTTATTACATACGTATTACTTATATACGATTCTCCTATGCGCATTAACTCGAAATGTTCGCCTCGTTATTATTATTAATACTGTCGTACGTTCGGTTTCGCCGTTAGGTATGCCGCGTTTTTTCTCCGCCGCAAACTATATTATGATAGGGTCGCGATAGCGTTTCGAATTCGGGTTCAGTATGCTCGCAACGAAGTAGTCATCAGGCGTAGGACTCCTATAGGAAGACCGCGATGAAAGCGACGGGAAAGTGTGGCCGAAAAAGACGCGGAACCGGGAAGAAGATCAGATCGGAAGACGCGAACATCGGATCGAGACTGACGGAGTGTTGGATGCGTGATTGGATGGTCTCAGACCGAGGGTCGGGAACCTGCGGCTCCTTAACGCGCAATCTGTGGCTCTCTGTGGAAAATGCATCAGTGTCTAGACATCCTAGACCTAGAGCTATAAAATATAAATTAAAATTCTATTTGTAAAAACAAAAATAATAATATAATCTAGTAATATATTATTGAAATAAAATTTATCTAAATCTAAGACGTATTATTATGTTTTTAATGCCTACCAATTGCATAGCAAAATATATTAGTCGTTTTTTGTACTGTGGTATTTTTTTTTTTTTCTTAACCATCGTGGCTCTTTGAAAATCATGGTTTCATATTTTTTTGTTATGAACGGCTCATTTACAAGAAAATATTCTCCGCCTCTGTCCTAGATGGTCCGCTTTGAACCCCGCATACGAATATTCTTTCAAACGGCCACGTCGTATTCCAGGCCCCCGCCGAATGTATACGATTTCCCGGGGAAAAGTAATCTGATACTTAAATTTAGGGGAGGAGCAATTATCCTAGACAGTACTGTTTTTAGGGAAAACAGAATAAAATACTGTTTTAAAAAAGACCCAAAACTATTTACGTCCTATCTATCTTTGTAAATCGATTAATTATTTATTATATATTTTTGGATTTATTTTACACCTTACTTTTATACTGTTTTGTTACCATAATATAATACATTTTTGTTTTACTGTGGTGTATGTTTTTTTTTTTAAATTGCATGTAGATAATAAGTATCTATACAGTATCTATATATAGTCGAAATANTTTGATTTTATTTTCTGTAGTAAATTTCAATATTTTATTGTTTTTATTTGTTTAAAATAGTTTTATCATGAACATTTTTTTTTTTTTTTTTTTTTTTTTAAGGGAATTAATAAAAACACATAAAAAAAGCAATTAATTAATTTTTTCTATATTATTTAAAATTCAAACGATTGTTATTAATTACGTTATAAACGTAGTATAATTTGTACGCTTTTAGACATCGCTCATAGACTTCAAAGGTAGATGGATGAGAGAGAAATTGAAAATTATTATGCATAACATTATATTAAATTAATATTACATTTTCCATAAAAATGCAGAAAAAATTCTGGTTTCTGGGTATTATTTTATTCGAATGATAAACATAACATAAATTATATCATTTTTTTTATTAATACGTTGATGTTACGGAATAAAAATATCCCTTTGTCTCGTTTTGTTATTTTTTTTTTACACAACGCATAGTATTTACTTAATTAGAAGGAATCATTGTTAGGAATCTGTGATGATATTAATTAAATTTACATTATTTACAAATTTTAAACAAACGCGAACGTAGCAAGAGCTTAACAATTATTTAATTTAGTTTTTTTTTTTTTTTTTAATTTTTCCGAGAAAAGAGATTATTTTGGGACACAAACACTACAAATTCACATTAATTAGAGTTGTTTCATAAGCAAGTTGGCGTGATCAAAGTTGAATTATCTGATCGCAGTTAAGAATGTATTGGTTTTATTATGACGTAAATATATATTTTTTTTAAATTTTCTGTCTATTCAAAACTTTTTGAAACCAAAACCACTCTGATTTAAATTTGTAGCTGTATCTTTTCTGAATGCATATTGTGTCTACAGTATTATATTGTTTAATACTGATTGTATCTATTGTAGACTTTTTTTTTTTCTTGTAGTTTTCCTAATAAAAATTGAGAAAAACAGATAAAACTTTAAAAATCCGGGAAAGTTTCGCTATTTTCGATTTTACTGCAATTATATTGAAATTAACCATAAATACCGTGTCTGTTTTACAAAATACTTAAATTAGCATTTAAAAAACGCGGTACGTGGTATTTACAACATTTTTCTATCGGTTTTTGAGCTATTTATAGTCATTTAAAATTTTCAATTTGTATTTATGTTAATATCGTTTTATTTTTATGTAAATATCATTGTGTTTATAACAATATACTCTGTTGTTCTGACTTACCAACTACAACAGTCAGCACACTCATCAGCAGTACCCGCTTATTTTTCTACATACAATAACAAATCGAGATACTATTATTTGTTTTGCGTGATATCATAATACGTTGTGCGCATAATGATGATTATATAAACACCAGGATACCATAAAGAATCCGACAACTACCGACCAATCGTTTTTCTTTATTCCACCGTTCTCCTAATATATATTTGTAATAGTAAAAAAAATACAATAATAACAAAAATCGCCTCGGTGACAGATGACACATATAAAACGTTATAGCGAGGTACCGGTCGACAAGTCCGCGCACGTACTATGACGGGGTCGATTATTATTTTATTATAATATTATTATAGTCGTCGAAAAACGTGTTTATAGTACAAAACTATAACAGAGGTACACGTCTAGTACTTATAAGTAAGTGGCGAAATCTTCCTGTCGGACGGTGCCGGAGTGACTGGCGGCGGAAGGTCTCACGCCGACAGTCGTCGCGTTTCGGTCCGGTTCGTGCGGTTGGCGGCTATGTCGACGAACGCGACTGACACGTTTTCGGGTTATTATTTTCGTGTTAGGCTTCCAAAAGTAATATAAATAGGTTTTCGTATACTTGTGTTGTCGATTATCATACTTATTTGTTATTTTTAAAAATTAATTCAACGCAATTGAATCGATTTATATTATATTAATGTCACATTGGCATATTATAAAGAAAAAATCATGATTTTTTATCAACTCTATACCAAATATTATATTGAACGACAAAATTACACGTTTGTACCAGTTAACGGTAATCTTAATTGCGTAAAAAATTAATATAATAATAGTTAATCGATGAAAAACGATAGAGGGGAGTCCAGACCCCGTGGACCATCCCATCCCCCTCTGGCTACGAGCCAGAATACACAAAAAACTGTAGTAGACAGTCACATTGTTAATCGGAAATACAACCGATTGGGAGGGACATAGTCTTTCCCCTGGCTATACGCAATTGCGGGGAACTATCGCGTTTCTTTAGTCGTGATATTTTCTCGGACAAAACGGCGAATTATGACGAAAATCCACACTTTTTAAAATTTAAAGATACCCTCCGGCAACATAATATGATAATATGATATTTGTTCGATATTATCTATACGCGCGGAAAAAGGGAAAGGACGCCGTGTATTACGCAACTAGACGGACGTCGACGGCATTACAAAAAATAATTATTAAGATATATGTATACGCTCTTAAAACATCGCGGTACTTACATCGTAGATGCTGTGCGAGAATCTCCAAATACGGTGATACGCGCGTTCATATGCTTTTTCCATTTCGCGCGCGTAGTCCGACAATCGTTACTCGTGTATTATTAATTCATTTACGCAATATTAGAGCATTGCGGTTTTATACTCTTTCTATTTTTGTATAAATATAGGCATGAAAGCGTTTGTATTCAAATGTAAACCTTTGAATATGCAAAGCCGAATGACGGTTGGGCTAAGAGGACTACAGTAAAACCCAGGAGCACCAGAAAAGAGTTTTAAGAACTTAAAAATCGTCCACAACGTTTTAAGAAAATACGTTTATGAAATCAATAAATTTCGACGTGTTTCGACTTTCAGGTTAATCACGTTGTCTTTTTTTGCTCCGCTGAATGTATTACAAACAATTTAGACACTGGCCGCATTCTAATTCGGGCTCCAGAATAGATCAGTCCGGAGCAACTAGTCTGATAAATCCTGCCCGTTTTTCGCGGTACTAGAAAATTATGTTTACGTGATACCGATATCAGTTTTGAGACGCGGATAAGTGAAATTTATAAAGACAAAAGGCAATTGTTCCAAAAACCATCTAGATATAAATAGAGATGAGCAATATCTTAACAAAATAAACGAGTAGAATTCATCTAGACGACCAGATGAAAATTGTTGTTATTTTGAAATATTTTCGATTGCTGAAGGAGACACGAAATTGACGAGTAAAAATAAATTTATCAGTAAACGCGACGGGTGTAAATCACCGGCTTTTTAGCGAGTGAGAATTTTCAAGTAAGCGTATACTGCAACATGTTGTTCGACAACGTTTATATGTTTTTCATCTAAATAATATGATATTATCCAGATGATTATCCAGGCGAGTCTCGGCACGGTCCTTTCGAGTCTCGGGCCGTTCCTATTACACGGGAAATTTCCGCAAAAGGAATAATGTGTACGTAATTAATCTATAACGCGTTTAATTGTTTCGCGTGTTTACGAATAAGTATCTAACACAATAGTTATCCAATGAAATTTCGAATTAACCCGTATTATTTATTATTATTATTATTATTATTAGCGCAGTCTTTTCGCGGACAAACGATAATAAAATGTAAATTATATACGAGTTTTATATCGAACGAAATGCTGCGATTAACGCAATTAGAAATTTTTAATTAAATTCGCAATACGCGTAGCGCGCCCGTGTAATTCACGCGTATACATCTAATAAGTTCGGGTTATATGAACATAATATAAAACCGTCTGTGGAATTCGTTATGTTCTAATAATATATATTATTACATGCGTGTTCTTTATCACGTTTCTCGTATTTATAGCGAAAAACGCACGGCCCCGTAATTCTAGAAGCTCCGCGCGCGCACATTGCGAATAATTCAGACAGATTTCTTGTTTATTTCGATTTGTGCCGGGAGGTATATCTACGTACCCTATACGAGTTCGGTGTCCAAGGCGAAACATATCCGAGTCGGTTAAGTGCTATCACGAGTTTTACGAAACCTAACCTACCCGTTGGTCGACAGCGCTCCGTGGAAATCATAAAACGCCGTGGGCTCGAATCTAAAACTTCTACCGCCCAATCGGTCGAAATGGCCACCGCGAATTATTTCGATAAAAGTAACGGGAAAAAGGGAAAAACTCGACGTACCTGTTGCAGGTCTAAACCCGATAATGCTCCGAGATCGTATTATAATGTCCTAAATGTGTAAACGTGAAACTTAGGTCGTGCAGTGGCCGATGAGAAGTTATTATTACGGGTCGCGTAATACGTATACGTATTTACGTATCGCCCGGGCCGAACTCGGATGGGGTCTGCAAATACGCCACCAGGAGATTAAACGACACGGAACCTAAAGGTGTTTGGGAAACAACCGCGCGTGTATACGACACCGCCGTGGCAATACTCTCGTATTATATTATTATAAACTATAATGGACTACGGTTCAGCAGTTGTTCGGAAAAGACCACGCGTCTCGGCCAATAATTTGGTGGGTAGATCGTGAATGTCGGGTGCAGGTCGGCGGTGTTCTCAAGTGTGTTTCTACATACTTGAGACCGCGTATAAGAAACACTGAATTTATTTTAATATTTCGTTATTGTTATTAATAATTGTTTAACGGACGGGGTGTCCGACGGAACAAACCCGTCGATAAATTACACTTATTAAAATAATGCGCAACAATGCAACATAATTGTTCAAAAGCGACGAAATTCGAAGAAAAACAATACAAGCAAATATGGAAAATTAATGTTTGAGTAGTCGATCACGAGCCATCATGAGTCAACGTGTCTAAATTTTTAGGAACACGTACGAGAATTGTCTTGTGTCGCGTAACCGTCCCGTATACAGATAAACGCAGTTCAATATTCATTCGCGGTGATTATATTTTTCGCTTTTCTCTCCATAAACCAAGTACGATTTCGTTTGTGTCAGTGATTTTCAACCGGGGGGGGGGGGGGGGGGCCGACTACATATTTTGAGTTACGAAATCGCTAAATCTTTGTGTGAATCAATACAGAATAAAACAAGAATCCCAGTAACCGATTTCAACAACAACAATAAAGTCGTTACGAATCTTAATATTTTTTCAACGATTAATGATATTTGAAAATCTGGTACACGTCTGGATACTCACGTGGTAAATATAAAATTGTATTATTTCTTTTGCAAACCGACCTTCGGATCGGCAACGGATAGTAATATATACGGGTTTAACCTGCACCGCGCACAGTGGAAAGGGATTTAAATATTTTTAATGCGGTGCAGCCCCCGGAACTGCATAACCCGACGGGGAAAATACCTCCGGGAATGTCGGAGACACGCGTAGTGAAGAAAGAAAAAAAAAGGACGCGGGAGCTTTACCGAACCGAACGGGAAGATTTCGGCGACGGACGTAGCTCGCGGGGGGATACGGCGGGTCGTCGGACGGAATACCCGTGTCGTATTATACGCATCCGTATACGTATTTATTGTTATACTCCGGGACGTACGCGTACGGGAACGGAATAAACTCTTAAAAAAACCGTAAGACGTCTTTACAGACTCACAGTTCGGGGCGGTCGGGTCGCAATGGATTTTCGCTTTTTTTTTTTTTCTTCTCGATAATTTTTTTAATATAAGGTATATATCTGTGTGTATTCCGTCACTGCGCCCATCGCACAGAGACGCCCTAATTATAATAATAATATTGTTGATAGTAATAATGATAATAATAATAATAATAATAATAATAATAACCGACTCGTGCGACAATATTCACCGACGACGACGTTATAATACGGCCGCCGCGGTATTCGCCATTGTTCGTTGATTAGTGACGCTCGGCAACGTTTCCGATTGTTGTTGTTGTTGTTGTTGTTGTCGTCGCTGTCGCTGTTTTATACGTATATATGTATATTGGAATAGTGTGTATACGCACGCGCGTGTATACCCACAAACGACCGACGACAACAATATAATAATAATAATAATATAAGTAATAATAATCGTTTTCGAGGAGTGTATTTTTTTAAATAACATACCTACGACTTTTCGGGGCCCGAAAAAAAAAAAAACAATAATAATAATAACAGTAAGAAAAGTACACGGGGAGGGGAAGACGATATACCGCAGGTGCGAGGGGAAGGGGGTGGGGGGAGGAGGAGGAGGAGGAGGAGGAAGAAGAGACCGCGTTGTCGTGAAAAACGGGAACTACGCCCATAAACACTAAATCAATTCGGGCGCGCGCGCGCCCGAGGAAGAGGAGAGGATCGCGGCCAATATTAATAATAATAATAATAATTATTATTATTATTATTATTATTGTTGTTGTTGTCGAGTCTCGGCGATGCGCTCGGGAACGCGTTATTATTTATCGCGGACGGGGACGACGGGCGCGCGCGCGCGCGTTCGCGTCGTGGAAAAAAAATCGAAAACTTAAATAGAAAAAAAAAAAAAAAATCCGTAATTAATATCGGACAATTAACAACGTGTCTACAAACGCGTCGTCTCTCTCTTTCCGCATAATACGTACGCGTACGATTATTGTTACACGCACGCGCAACGGCGCGACCCCGTGACCCGCCGCGTCGCCAGGTACGCGTTTCACAATGGACGTACGAGGAGTATTATAATATAATAATAATAATAATAATAATAATAATAATATTCGGCCGTATTATCCCGGCGACGATGTGGGAGAGGAGATACCGAAATTTCCATTATGCGCGTACGTATTGTAATGCGCGAGCAGCACCGCCGGTCGCATTGTGTTTTCATCGCGAACGGGTCGGGACCGATTACGTGCGCGTCTCGTGTGCCGCGGCGCACAACGTCATGGGCGTGCCGATATTTTTTCCTATTTTTTTTTTTTCTTCTTCTTCTTTCCGCCGGTCGTACGTCTTGAACAAATAATAATAACGCTGCGAGGATATTGTGTTTTGTATACATTAGGTACCGCCGCCGCGCCGTTGTTGCGCATCGCGCGGTGCAGCGCCCGGCTCGCGCAGGCCGGGAAATTAATTGATACCGCCGTCGCCCAGGATGTCTCGGGTATTTTCGTCCGTACGCGTCATAATAAAAATAATAATGAAAAAAATTATATGTATACACGTATGCCGCGATAGACAATGCAACTGATTCTACCCGCCGTCTCGTAATAACCGAAACTCATACGGCGGTCGTACGACGGATCGACCCTTTTCCTGTCGCGGTGACGCGGCGCCGGATACCCGCCCGGTAAATTTTAAGAGACCACGCGCGACGGCGATCGGGCACGGTCCCTGTTTCACGGACGGCGAAAACGACGATATTATATTTCAATATAATAAATAATAATAATAATTTAATGTATTTCAATACATTAAAAACGGGCCGTAAGAAATTCGCGAGAAATAAAAAAAATATATATATTTATTTTATAAACACAACAGACGCAATGTTGTACGTGTTTCTGTGCGCAGCCGTATCGGGTTTCGGACTCTTATTGTTTGATCGGCATCTGTGCTCAAGCGGGCCGTGAAAAAGATAAACTGTGTCGAATCGGGTGTCAATCGGGTCGAAGCCACGTGCGATTGGGCTGAAATTTATTACACGAAAAAATAAACCCCGAAAAACGTTCGAATCCGCTCCCCGGGTTACAATCGACAGTGGTGACGCGTCGTTATAATTTCGTGTACAATAATAAAATTCGTTCAAGAACATGATCTGGGACGGGCAAGCTACACCTATCAAACGTGGAATTTAAAAACAACCAACATAAATACCACTTTAATATTGATACTTATGCGTAACAAGTGTCACAGTACAAAATATCTAATTTTTTGTATTTATTTACTTAACTAGATACATTTTTAGAAATTCCTAACGATTTCGCCTTGTTTTCATACTTTCACTTTCAATTTTTAATATATGTTTTGAAAAGCCAGAGAGGAAAACCAACTCTACGTCGAGATCTTATATAAGCAAGTTCCTTCAAAATGAGCAAATCTATAGATACTCGATACCTACATTGATTTCAGTATCGCAATACAAGACATATACAATGAAATACGGTTGTATCTAAGATCATTCCATCGAAATTCGAAGTTATCTGTCCAACCTTGATCACAAAAACGCACAGATTTCATTAAAATAAAAAAATGTTTATTTTTTTTTTTTTTAATCTTTGTATCCATATATTATTCTTGCGAGTTTTATTTTAAAAACGCACATGAGCTTTGCAATAATTGTCTTCAATATAATATAATTTTTGAAAATCGGTAGTTTATCTATGAAATTATTGAAAAATCAATTTACGCTCGTGTTTCCCCATCTAAAAATTTCTGACGAGACGTCCTTCTTAAATATTATAATACTATGTGTTATTTTATGATATCAAACTATATTTTTATATTATTATTATTATTTTTATTATTGCAAAAACAAACATTCATTAAACGGTTTTAAAAAAGAAAGTTCTCAAGGAGGACAAATGAATCCGTTTCCATCCCTCCGAGTAGGTATATCTATACGCCACTGGAGATCCCTTCGGCAAAAAAAATTAATATATACGTCTATAATGTAATATATATATATACGCAGAGATACGTTATTATAAATTCGTAGTGCTCGAAAACTGAATTAAAAAATGTCGAGTTATGTTTGAGTTTCTTCTTACGCAATATACGGCGGGTAGGTATACTCGTATATTTCCCGACGAAAAATTACCCATCATTTGAAATAGCAACGCCCGTACCTCCCGTGTTCTGTTTAGGGGGAGAAAAAAAAAGAAGAAAAACAAAAAAAAAAAAAAAAACTTTAATCGTTTTTTTATCGCTATTCGTTATTATTATTATTGTTTTTTTTTTTTTTTTTTTTTTTTTTTTTTTCCCCCNNNNCCCATCATTTGAAATAGCAACGCCCGTACCTCCCGTGTTCTGTTTAGGGGGAGAAAAAAAAGAAGAAAAACAAAAAAAAAAAAAAAAAGACTATATTCTCGAATCTTCTCGGGCATTTTTATTGTTCCGGAAAAGTTTTGCGCCGAAAGTAAAAAAAAAAAAACAAAACACATTACCGCCGGAAAACTAATAGGCGGCCGCGGCTCGAGACGTTAAACTCCAAGCACTATACACCGGCTACTACGGGGCGAATGTTTTACAATATAGATTCTCGTCTGTATATACGTACACGAGTAAGCGTCATAAATACCCGACCAATATAAATAATTAGACGATAATGAGATTACGCGCGAGTTGTTACCGTCGGTAAACCGTTTTTTAAAAAAAAAAAAAAAAACTTTAATCGTTTTTTTATCGCTATTCGTTATTATTATTATTGTTTTTTTTTTTTTTTATGATACTTCGCGACTGTAATACGTCGGTTTCTGGCGTGATCGAGGGACGGCCTGATAAACACCTTATAAACGACACTTCCGAATTCGTGTAATATAAACTGCGCGCGTACACGGTGAATTATATTGCCCGTGTATTAACGCGCGTCTTTAAAGTTTATTCGGGGGCAATATATTATATTATTTTTGTACACACGGTCGGTTGTTTCTGTCGCTGTTGTTCCTGTATACGCGCCGGATAATATAACATCATAATAATATCGCGTAGTGTGTGCGCGTGCGTGCGTACACGGAACGACGAGCAGATGTACCGAAAAATATCACGACACGACGACTAATGCACGTACGTATAAAAAAAATACACATATATTTATACATTGCATTATAAACCGGCGGCGGCGGCGGCGGCGGCGTAATAAAACTATAAAAACTTTAAATTAGTCGCGGTTTTTAAAATATAATACAGAGAGTACAGTTAAACATCTACGCGGCATTACGGCAGTACGTTATCGTGCCGCGCGTCCGTTAAAACGATTCGAAAACGACGGACTTGTACACGACTTTGTCGGTTTAACTCGTACACGACTCGTACTGCCGTACCGCTTTACGGTACAACGACCGCCGCTACTACTCGCGGCCAGTGCTGTACATTATTATTGTTATATTACGTTTTATTAAAACGGGTCGATAAAACGCGATAATAGCTATTATCACGTTTTATTAAAACGGGTCGATAAAACGCGATAATAGCTATTATACCGCGGTACGGTAATATTATTATGATTACGCGCGGCGTTTCCCGTCTGCGCTGCGCGCCCGTGCCGTAGTCGTGCGAAAACTACGCGCGGTCAACGCGATACCGTACCGTCGTCGTCGCCCGGCCGGCGCACGCGGCGTGTACGATACGACAGCGCGACGAACCGCGGAGCAGCGCGACACAACGCCGCGGATAACAAAATGATGATGGACACGGGCCGTAACTCATCAGCGTTTCAGGGGGCCCGAAATAACGCGTCCCCTGACACGGAGCGCGTTCACGGAAAACCGAATTTGCGCCATCCTCCGAATCGCAAAATGTGTGCACCGAATTGAATATCGCGTGCGTCAGTTTTTCACTGTAGACGTATTTTTTTTAGTACGATAACAATCAGTAAACGAGATCACCGTAACCAATACACGACGTGATACGCGACGTTCATGTTCAATTGTTTTACATTAGTAAAATCGGTGAAACTTTTACTTATATTTATTTCGCGTTGATAATTTTCAGTACACGCTAATTAGATGTAAACAGCACAAGTGTAAGTCTATTAACCGTATCATTTGAATTAAAATGCGTGTCACCTGATATCCGATGTATTTTAGGCCCTGCAGCGTTTCGAGGGGGACGGGTACAGTTACACACAGTTTCATAAAGTGAGGCGTTTTATCTAAATTTTAGTGATGTATGATAAATCGCCTCAGTTTACCGCCCCTTCGGGAACATCGCGCCTCACTTGCAATTGTTGTGGGCGTGGCGTATCCATTTCTTTATTATCTATATGCATAATACTCGTGATTAGTGTGAAGTTATTTATTATTATTATGTGCGAAAAATTCTTGTCAAATACCGATTGTTAGATCCAAACAAATACAAAATATTATGTACCTAGACGCGTGTTAACGCTATCTAAATGAACATGAAAAATAATTTACATTTAAATCATATAGATGTATTCATAAGTAAATTGTGCTTAAAAGAGAAAATAAAAAAACCGACATTGAGCAAGGGAAGAATTTTAAATCGCATAATAAGTCTAATACGTATAATAGTTTTTTTTTTTTTTTTTATCCTTATTCCGTACACTGTCATAAACATACATCGATTTTTAATTCTTACATAGCAACCAAATGACCCCTCCCCCCATTCAAATTGGGTAGTTCTTTATGGAAAAGAGAATATTATTTTTCTAAAAACATATCGATATGCATAACGCTAATTCATTCATGCCGTTTATGAACTACAATTTAAACAGTAGAGAAGGATAATCATATTATTAAATCTAAACGCTGATATGACATTTATTACCGTATTACCGCTCCGCCGGACTGGAATTTTAATCCAGTATAACTCACTTATGGTATATCCGGTAAGAGTGTTATGCACAACGTGTTGAAAAGAGAGGGCAGAGGATAGGTTTCGTTTGAAAATCAAAAGTTAATAATGTTCGTTTAAAACATATATAAGGATTAGGAGTGAAAATTTGAAAAATGTGTTAGAATGAAAAAACCGGAAATCATATTTTCATATTAAAAACCTCCCAGAAAATTGCAAGGGATCGTTTTTAAAATGTCTCGCCACTAAGTTTTAACGAACTGCCAGTTCGCAGTTAAACGTAACGGAGACTTTGGCGGTAAGTTTCAAACAAATCGGTATGACAATGTACAGCTAATACTAACCATCATTTAACCAATAAAAAACGGTAGAACCATTTTCATTGGCTAACAACGAAATAAGCCGTTTTAAACGAATCGATAACGAAACAAATTCACCGTAATATACTCCACGTCGTCGATTTTGTACGGCCTATGTGCGCCTAAATAAGTTGGCGCGATCGAAACACTGCCGCCAATTTAGTCGGTTAGAGAGGGGCCAGTTTTAGCACATCGGCGCGTTGTAGTAATTAAATTTTAAAATTTGGTTGCTGTGTGCACGAAGCTATTACAGTGGACGCGTTAGGGGAACATTTTATAACAGCGACCCTCAGTATATGTTTTCTGTTGTACCGCGATATCCGTGTTAAAAGGCTCGGTCAAACGAACGGTAATCACGGAAGAGACGACAAAAATATTGCGAACGCGCTTTAATTAGCCGTAGAGACCCCGTCGTTTATGACGTTTTAAATATCGGCCGCTAAACGCGTTCGCTAACAGCTGTATACAGGGGGTTAAGCGGCGGAACATTGTAACGACAAGAATCACCCTGTATATACGTATATGAAGAGCAGTAGCGACTTTAGATAGGATAGGGGAGGGAGGGGGGAGGGGGTTAAGAGAGGTGCGGACGGGTTTCGCGCGCGTTAAGCATACATACCCGATAATATTACCTATACATTTTACGACGGTTCCCCGTAAACTCGATAATAATAATTATTATTACGGTATATATAATAATAATAATAATAGTAATAATAACGATAATAATATAATATATAGGAAGTATCCCCGGACCGCGGCGGGCGTAGTAGCGTCACGTGAACTTTGGCCGCCGCGGCTTTTGTCCGGGACGATTCGCCCGGTGTTAACGCCTCTCCCCTAACTCCCCTAAGTCCGTTCGCTCTGTCTCTCCGGCTCTCTCTCTCTCTCTCTCTCTCTCTCTCTCTTTTATTTATTGCGCACGGCAGTAGGGACGGGCGAGGGGAAAACGCGGCTTTGAACCTCCGCGCGCCGCCTTTCCCGTCCCATCAAACCGGCGAAATCCCCGTTTCCCCTCGCGACCGCGACGTGCCGGCCGTTGTAATAATAATAATAATAATAATAATAATAATAATAATAATAATAATAATAATAATAACATAACGAAAGCCGATTGTAAACTACCTATGTCGAGACGGCGGACCGGGCGATAAGAAGAAGGGGCGCCGTCGTACGTCCGTTTTTTCGGCTCGCGCCTTGTACTCGGTCCACCCGCCCGCCGTCGAGACGCGCGTGTCCGACACACGTCGTACGCACACCCAAAGTTCCATTGTCTAAATTCCGTCGAAAAACGCGAGTCGCGAAACGGACCACGGCGCACTATTATTCTGTTATCACAATATTATAATATAGGCGCACGCGAGCCTATTAATCAGCGGCGTATTTAAACGCGCGGGCCGGCGGAAAATAGATTTTCCCCACCACCCTCTTTTTTTTTTTTTTCATCACCAATAAACGCGTTTGAGTACCGAGAAACAACGTTTCGGTCGGTTTTACGCCAGATCCGTGGTATTTTTGCCGGAGGTTCGACACCGGCAATATATATCGTTAAACTTTTGAACTCTTTAAGCATTCATCGTAATAAAATTGCATAAAGTTTAACACGGTTCATTTTAAAACCTGATAACTTGAGAGGAAAAAAAAAAAAGCTTTAATTTTAACAATTGTATGTTAGATATTTTTCCGTGTGGTGACATGCTGTAGTTTACAGCGTACACGACGGACGGCGTTTCACGAAGCACCGGAGCATTGCGCACATGTTAATAACGGATATGCAAGTGCTATTTACGTGGTACAACACTATTGTGTGCGTATTATTGTTATCATTTATCATTTCTGCAACTGATTTTATTAAAAATTAAAATGTTTTGAAATACCTATTGTCGAGTGTGGATTGATTATTCACAATTATACAATACATTTTAAAACAATTATCAGCTGTCGTTCTTTACGCGCCAATATTATCACAATAATATTATTGTTTTAGAAATTAAAAAATTAAAATTGTATTACAAATAATGGGGACCATTGTGATTCCACTCCTCATAACTGCACCACCCTATTGCGCCGGAACCTGGATGTTCCGTCTATTTTATGTACAAGGTCTATGATTATTGTACAATTTTGCACGTCGATACGCTGTCGGAATTCCTAATTGACGATACTATTATTTTCGTTCAACATTTATTTCGGTTGTATTTATTATCTTGTAACTGTCGGCGATAGTAGGAGGGCACTTATACATAGTTTAATTTAAAAGAATATTTTGCGGATGTAAATTAAAAATTTAAATAAATTCTCGGGTACAAGAAAAAAAAAAATGAAGCACTTGAGTATATTATTAATTACTATACAATGTAGGTACATTTTAACGATAGACATTATTATTATTATGTTCCATACACGCGTGTAATATTATGATTAACAAAAAAAAAAAAAAAAAGAAAAAAGTAAAAACTGCACTGCACAGTGAATATTTTATAATAATGCGGTTGTCACGGTTGTACTGATAATTGGTACCTACCAAGTAGCTATTTTGATACGGTATAGTTATGATTATGCATAGAGAATAGAGATGGAGTACCTATAATATAATGTGTTGCTAAATTTTTAATTCAATAATGACGTTATTGTCAGGGCCGGCCTTAGGTTTTTTACCGCTCTAGGCAATTCTAATTTACGCTGCTCTGTTCGATAGTTAATTTTTTAGAGAGACGAGGGTTTTATGAAATATGGACATTCGTTTTTTTAACGATAAACCCTTGTTTCTATTTTAAAATAAAAACAATTTTTTGACCGACCTCAGTTTTCTTTACAAAAAAAAAAAAAAAATTATAAAATTAAAATAAATGTTCTGAAATAGTACAAGTCATATTTGTTACCGACGTTATACTTTCATTACCGTTATTATACATTAACAATAAATATTTAATTATACATTGAACAATTATATAACTTTAAAATTAAAAACATATTTCACCGAACTTCGCTTAGAACCGTATTTCGTTATCAAAGATTTATGATTGCGAACAGACATAAATATTAATTAATTTCACGTATTTTACTTTTCTAACTTTTCACCTATAACAGAGGTGCTCATCAGCAGTATCAGCATTTTGGTTTTCGGTTTTTAATTTATCGGGAGAAGCTCCGTTCGACGGGGTTATATGAGAGTGAAAAATAACTTAATTATAATTATAAATAAAGTTATTTATAAGAAAAAGACGTCTTAGGATAACGGGAGCGGTTGTAATCACTGCTATAGATAAATTAATATATAGCAACGGTAAACCATTGCTTACGAAAAAACGATTCTGAGCGGAGTTTAGTTGATAGTGGTGCTTTGTCAACAATATGTGTGTCATGTTAAAGTAAAACAATTAAATGGGCTTTATATATTTTCTTTAATAATATTTGTTTAATTTTGCACTGATTTTCCTAATTTTCCTAATTTTTCAGTTTTTCCCATGTTTTATTCCGGTTTTTCACATTTTCTAGAAAAACTCTTAAGAAAATCGAAAAATTACCTCTGTAAAGTACCTCCCTAAAGAATTTTATTTTTAGAAAATGTGCTACACTAAGAAATCCAAACAAGTGTTCTGGTAGTAAAGTTGTTAACACATCTTTGTAAAACTATAAGGTTCTTCGCTCCACTCAGAAGCTAAAATATATTAAATGAAATTTATATTGCGAGCCTTTTCTTGTGCGTAATGCATTACGATTGCGGTGCGTCTCCGATACACAAAATATTAGATACATTTTTTTCTATTTGTTAAAAAATGAATATACATTTCTGTATACTAGATAGATAATATAATAATTAAATCAATTTGGTTTATTCGAAATTTGCTGCCCCTAAACTAGTGCCGCCCTAGGGAGCTGCCTATTTTGCCACTCCATTAGGTGTGCTGTGGTTATTGTATATTTATCTGTGTATCGTTAAAATTAAATAATTGTACGACGTCAGATTAAAAACCAGTCTCGAAAATCGTATAAAATAATTACCAAATGTAAAAAGCAAACACTAGAGAACAAAATGTAATACATAAATGTTCGTTACAAACTTAAACCTTTTTTACAATCATGGCGGAAACTGAGGTTACAATTGTGTTATAGACCACGATGATGACGTATAATAATAATCTTATATTATTCTAACGTTTAACCATCTATGTATCTATGTGTTAGAGGTGTTTGTGGCATGAAAGCCACTTTTCTTTTTATACGATAGATGCGCAAAACATTATTTTAACGGTACGGGTATTATTTAGACTGTGGTACGTATGACTGATGTCCCATGTAATACTATAACAGTGTAGCGGACATTTTTTTTTTTCAAAACAGCATTTTATCGTGAAAACCCTTACACATATTATAAATGAAATTAGTGAAAGTGAATTACGTTTGCACGCCTGAACTGCCGAACCGATTTTGATGAATTTTGTTATATAGAAATAGATATGGGACATTTTAGAAAAACCTTGACTACTTTTTGCCACATAAAACTTGATGTGGGATGAAAGGTTTTTAGGAATTTTTGGTACGAAAAATAAATTATTTTTGTTAAATTATGGATTACCTAAGTAACACAGGTGAAATTGAAAAAAAATATAATAGCATTATAAATAATATTAGCGTTACTATAGTGAAGATATAGTTTAATTCCTATGCTTTGCGGGTATCTATGGTAACATGGATGAAAAAATGTATGGCACACTACAATTATGTATTAAAATTATAATTATATATTAAAAAAATTTAAAAAATTGGCATGGGCAACGCAAGTTATAGGAAAGCTAGTATCTTATAAAAAAAAAAAATGAATTACTTTGCCGTGGTTTGTATAGTGACAAATCGTATAATTTGAATTTTTAAGTAAAATAATTTTGCGCATACGAGTCTATCCGGTAGTGGCTTCTATGGATGTCACTATAATTATTTTATTTATAAAATTTCAATTTTAGGTTTGCTCTTTAATCACAACCGTGGTTTAAGATTTACCGGTTATACGACGAGTATAAATAATTGCTTTTTCGTGATCGGCAACTGAATAGCCAAATTAGCTATTGCAGTAGAACTAATACTCCTAATAAATAATCTGGCGCTACTGGTGTGCGTTTTGTGAACTATTGTTATTAATCTGTTCAAGCTGTTATTATATATCACGATTTAAGATATATATATAACGCGCAAAATGTGTGGTTCCTCCATGAACGTCCCCCGTGATAACGGTCAAACTAAAATTTACGGATGAAGTGAAACTATTATTCTGCAAATCGATCGGATTTTCCGATTAAGTTTCAACGAGATGAACGAGCAAATGGAGGTGGCCGTTGGCGACAGCTAGACGAAGCAGTATTGGAATATTTTGAGGTTAGGTTTTATGAATTTTTTTGTTTTCCTTATCAGACGTACCTGGAGGAGAATAACTGACCACGTCCCTATTTGTGTTTGATACCACTATTTTTTCGTATCACTATATATGTAGAGCAACGGACACCGGTGTAGCTTTACAGCATGATAGGATAAATTCTTCCAAACGGTGAAAAATTAATTGGCTGAAATGCATCCACCTATAGTTACTTATCTATCAAAATATAATGCTCGTACTTTTGCGTGTACATTCAATTTTTCGCATGCAAATATCGGTCGTTGAATTTAAATAATATAATGATTCTTTTAATATTATTATGTTTTATAATACTAAAAATCTGACGAAAAAAAATACACTGGCACCGAACGTTTGGCAAATTATCGCTTTTAGACCAAAACTCGAAATTAGCACGACTTAAAGGCGCGCAAAGTTAACTACAATATTGTTTCGGGGAAAAAGCCGGCTGAATAATAATTACCTTCCTAAAATTTTAATTAACCATAAATATACAATTATACAATATAAGGCTACGGTCAAACACGCACAGAATAAATGAAAACAAAAAAATGTAACCTGGTGACCGTTTTTTTTTTTTTTTTTTTTTATCGTTATTATTGTTATTTGCACAAACTCTAATCACGAAACTATTAAACTGTACGGTTTAAAAGGTAATTTAAAAAGAACTATTATCGCAATAATAATAACGTTATTATTATACGGGCAATAATTATTATAATTATAAATATCAAATGAATTATTGTGTCGCAATGTTATCGTCGTTGACGTACAGTTACTCGAATTTTACAGGACCAGCAATTATCCCCGAAGATTTTTAGTATGTTCAAATTATTGGTTTAAATAAAGCCCAAAAAGTATCTGACGCACAAATGAAATTCTTAAGGTCAACATTTTTGTCTAGAAAAACGAAAATAAAATTGTACGTAGCTATCATAAGACTTATTCTCTCCGTATAATTGTGAGGCTATTGGACGATGATCAAACAGATCGATAGAAGCTTGAGAATATTCGGGAATAAAGTCAAGAGGAAAATATTTGGGCTCATTAGTGATGAAACAACGGAGAACGTTGGAGGAAATCCAGTAGAGAGCTGTGTGTTATGATTATGGAATTAGCACCATTAAGTCAACGAATTTGATGGTTAGGTCGTAATATGATGAGAAGAGGTGATGGCGAGACGGTTAGGAAAACTACGGAGTGGAAACCTCAAGAAAATAAACCTAAATGAAGAACCTGCAGAAAAATATGATTGATTTGATCGAAGAAAATCTGTCCGGGAGTTGAAAACTGTAGAAAGACGGTTCAAGATGGAAACAAGTGGCGAAGTGTAATAATGGCGGCACGAACTCTTCGAGTATAATCGTGCCATTAGAATAAGACGATTAAGAAGAAGAGAAATTGTTTTCAATCGTTATATTTAATCACTCTGTATTATGCGTTTCGGTACATCTCGGTTCGTTGGCAATAATAAAGCAACAATACTACTGCGTTCGATACATCGATTCGGGTGATGGCGGAAAATAAACTTACCCCACTGCCATCATTGTCGTAACCGATCCGTAACAAAAATAATCGTACGGGCGATGCGAATAAAAGAAAAATTACAACGATATTAAGGCGCGTTCATACCGGCAGAGTAGTTTATTAAGATAATATGTAATTTGGAGGGTAGGGTGGCAAACGTCAGGTAAACCAAGTAGATTGAGTGACAAAACACAAGTAAAAGAATTACTGTTGGTAAACACCAAGAATTTACCCATGGTTATTTAAATTGGCGTCTCTGGAGTATCCGGCGTCTAAAAGTCTTCTGAACAAAATGTGACGAACCGTAAGCGAAGTATTTCCTATATCCGGCATTTTACACTCTTTTTCTCGTGTGTAAAACCAGGGCTTCCTGGTTGAATCGGCTAATTATTTCGTCGATCGAAGAATCGAAAAATCTCTTGCTCGAGACGTGCGCTTAGGGTGCGGACGTGCCTTAATGTACGCCAGCCGCGGTATCGCCAGCCTATCGCGTATTAGGAGGCGCATACCTCCTAATAAGAGTCTCGCGATAGTTCCATAATGACGGTGTCGTTTGCGGTCGTTCCGCGTTCACGGTACGCGCGGATATCCAACGGGGCGATTCGACGTAACCGCGGTTACGGTTAGCTGAAGCGCGACGGTCGCCGCTCGCCGTGCGCATACTCGTTCATTACCTACCTATCCATCGTCGCCGTGGCGGAGAAAACGACGGCGATAACCGCAGCGACATAAACGATATTATAACATAGACGGGTAGGTATACCTACAACATTATCTATGTGCGCGAAACGAATTACACGGCGGCGTTTGTTTATTACCGCAAAACAATTTCCGATCCACAGAGACACGCGGCGCGTTCTCTCGACACCGCCGCGCGCCGCGCCACCGGTCGATCGTGTTTCGTCAGACCGCATCACAACACTGTACGAGTGCGCATACACGTGCCTGACGGCAAAAACACTTAATAGTATCCGGGGGTGGGGAGGGGGGAGGGGGACAGCCTCTAATCGAGTCTCGTGGACGTCAATTCCACCGCGGACAAAATGTCGGATTTCATTTGATCGGGAAAATAAAAAAACTGAAAAAAAAAAAAACTAGTTTATATTTGTATAGGTTTATTGTACCGACGGACGAAGACGGTGCGCGTGTGTGATGTAATCCTTCTACTACTACGTTATTTATTACGTTTTGTTTTTTTTTCTTTTCTTTAATCGTAACGAAAGATAGAGAGAAAAAAATGGAACAAATCGAATATCAAATTATAAGTTAAACGCGCCAAGGCAATACGTGTACAAACGGTTATAAATAATAGGTGCAAACGTATGTTATGTACGTTTACATATGTAATAGCGTATTATTATTATTAATATTTTCATACGATTGTTTGTATGTAATAAAAAAAAAAAAAAACGGAGGAAGACGTTTGAAATATATTACAATAATATAATAACGGTGTTTTTTTTTATATATTTTTCTAAATCAATTAAAGTTACTGACGAAACCGATATAAAAAACCCGCGTTTGTCGCGTTCGTGCCTATATGTGTTTTAATGTATATTTATAGGCATGGAATGATGGGAAAGGCTAAGGGGGCTTTGGAAACTCCTTAGAATTTAGTGCAGTCTCTCCTGAAAAATAACCCGGCGGGTAAAGGTTTTATCTACCATTAAACTCTAAAAAAATGTACAAAAAATATCAAAAGATTATTTTGTATCGTCGTTTAAATAAAAATACGTTTGGTGTTTGAGGGTCATAATATTATATTAATCGATGAGAATACCGTGAAATATAAGAAAAATACGAGATAATCGTATCGAATGGCCCGAGACAGCTGTGTCGGTTATTTCCACAACAAAATAATCGACTTGATTGTTTAGATTATAATATAATCATTGTATCGTTGCAAACACTAATTTTTTAATTTTTTTTTCTTAAACTAAACAAATGTATTATTGAGTACTTCGTAACTTAATGTTTACCAAAGGGTACGCGAGAGCATCGCGTATAATATAAACGATATTTTTTTAGGGCTATACACAGAAAAACCGTCGCGTTACGCCCGCTGTGTGTATAGTGTATGATACGAGTGTAATATTATTATTATTATGTTACAAAGGCAGATTAAAAAAAAAAAAAAATTAAATATGCCGTCGCCGTGCCGTTCTACAAGTGAACAAATTGAACGGAATATTATGCGGAATTATTATATCGAAAAAACTAATAAAAACGCCGACGCGTTACGCGTTATCATTTTTAAACGGGGGGGGAGGGGGGAAAATTAATGTTTGATTCGCAATAATCGCGTTTCGAATTCACGCGTCTACGGCGATAATAACTATTATAAACTGGTCCGCGTAAAATGTTTTTTTTATATTTTTTTAATGCATTTTATTATATTGTAACGCTGCGGAAGTCGACCGTATCGAATGGCGCAACACCGCAAACGCACATGGCGATAACGTCGCTTTATAATCTCGGCAATATTACGGCTAGTTTATGGTTTTCGGACGGCGATAACGCGAGCGCGCGCGCGCCCTGCGCCGCTGCAAAACATTGTTCGCCGCCCGGGCTCAGGCGGCGCACGCGAAATAACGACGCGCGGCGCGGTACGGTTCAAAAACGGGAAGAACGACTAATCGCGTTGCGATATTATTGCGACGCGGCCGACGGGACAGTCGCAATAAACGGACGGACGCGGCACTCCGCGCCGCGAACCGGGACCCGGGGCGGCCGGTCGGTCAAACGGCTGGAGGAGGCGACTAGGGACGAGAGGGTCGAAGGTCCCCCCGCCCGTGACTCTGTGCGTCGCGAACCGTATAGAGAAAAATTAAATTAAAAAAAAAAAACCACGCGCACGTCCCCCGTCACCGCAGTTTCCCTCCCCCCCCACACACACACGCACACAGCCCTATCGCGTTGTTATGATAACTGATTTGAGTGGTTGGTTTACAGATGCGTTCGAGACTCGGCGCTTCCTGTAAGAACGTGAAATCCGAGCGTATACACTCCCCCGCATCAGACGCTGCCTCGCCGCCGCGGCGCAATACGCGTTCGGAATCGCATTCCCCTCCCCCCCGGTTTCGTCGGGGGTCGTGCGGGGGCGAGCGCGGCTAAAAGACACCCTCTTTCCGCGACAACATGCTCATGTCCATTCAGACGTTGCGCATAACGCTCGGAACGTACGTTACCTATATCGAACACGTCGATTCAACAGTCGAAAACGCGACGTCTTTGCTGTCGTTCGGCGGTGGTTTCGTGTGAACCGAATTATAATTGCTCGTCGGCCTACCCGGGTCGCGAACATACGTCCGGCTTTTCCGTCGCTCTATCGATTGGTGCACGCTCGACGAACGTACCACGTGTTAAAGTTCGCGAATAACTTTTATTTAGGTACTCACCTGAAACAAATGAAAAAAAAAAAAATAAATAAAAATTACAATTTAGTACGTGATACCGGGATTTTATTACAATATAAAATATACAAGTCTTACAATAATAATAACAATAACAATAATAAAGGCATCTTTTATGCGTTTTTCGTCGTGATTTTTTTTTTTTTTTTTAATTTTACACGGTGTAAAACATCCGCAAAGTATGGTTTCGGACAGTGGAAAATAATGCCGCGCTGTCCGTGCGTACTAACAGGCGCGGTGCGAAAATGTCGAAAAAACGGGACGAACGAACAAAATTGACAACAACATTATTGTCATTACAACGAAACGAACGGGTCTAACGGAAATTTGTGGAATGCGAACAATTTTACACCGCAACCGTATAATATATTACGCTATTATGTATAAACGACGGCGGCCATTAAGGAATAGATGCGTTTTTCGGGGTCTCACGTCACGCCGACCATTCGTATTATTATTATTGCGGTGGAGGAAATGACACAGGTAACGTTCCCGTCGTCGTCGTCGTTGTCGTCGGTGCTCTGCATCAGCAGCGGTCCACAAAAGGAATATTCGATCACCTACGCGCGTTAAAAAAAGACGCGGAACAAAAAGAAAAAAAAAACAAAAAAGATCATTCTGTCCCTCTTCGCCGCCGTCGCCTCCGGGGCCGTTTATCATCGCCGTCCGAGATCACGATTTTTTCTTCGTTCTCTCTCCGTCCGATATTCAGTTTTAATAGTAATAATAATTTCTACTCCCCCTTCCCCCTCTCACTCCGCCGCCGCCGACCTGCTTCTATATTATTTCATTTCGTTTCGTTTCACAATGGCCCGAGGTACATTAGGCACACACATAGGTGTATACATACATGCGCCGAGGTTCGTTCGTACCCATGCGTATACCTGTACACAATATGGGGCGCGAGAGACATCCGCGTGGCTTTTTAAAATACTTTTTTATAATGTAATAGTAATAACAATAATAATAACAATAATAATAATAATAACTTGGCGGCGGCAGCGGCAGCAGCAACACATACATCGTACGAGTATAATATAATAATATAAGCCGCCACTGCCTACCGGCACTGGGTCTGGGACCGTTCTCTGCTAATGAGCTGTTAAGAGCGTTTAGGAGCGGTTTCGGGTCCGAGGGCAATACATCAAATAAATGAGACAACCGGCCGGACCGACGACGACCGGTGATGGTGGCGGGCCACAGCATTGCGTATAATATTTAAACGCGCGTGTAAATGCGATAAAAAAAATATATATATATATATATAATAATAATAATATTACTGTCGGAGAGAATATTTATATTATTATAACAGCAGTTGGAAATCGGTAATAATATACGATATACAAACGAATGCTCGCGATCTACGATAATAACGTTCTTGTCGGACTTATATTATTATATTATGGTTTTATACGTGTACGGTGTGGGTACACTACACTACACCGACCCGGCGTAGGAGTATGTGCCTACATACGGATGTGTTGTACGCCGAAACAAAACGAATACCTAATAATAATAATATTCCCGGTCGATAGGTAGGTAAAATAATAAACAAGAATACATATATATATACATAAAAAAAAAAAAAACAAAGAACAACACCGCATAGTCTTCGAAAAAAGATAACTGGTTTTCGGATTCTGAGTCCGACGACGAAACGAATATTGTACAGTAAGTATATTTACAGACGAGACGATTTATACGGCGCGATTCAAAAGGTGTTTCGAGACACGCGAGAGCGGCGCGGCGACGGCTGAAAATGTAAATAACAATAATAATAATAAAAAACACAATCGCCGATTGATATTCATTCCGGACGAATAATTATTATTATAAAATAACGATATTAGCATAAATGCCCGAAAGAATAATAGGCAACAAATCAACCGGCCGCTGCAGCAGCCATCAGTTGTTACGCTCGTCGACGTCGTCGTCGTCGTATTCCATTTGAATAATATAAACTTTGTATTCAATTATATTATTTTGATAAAATAAATTTTCGAATTATATTCAATTAAATAAACACACACACACGCACACGCACGCAATATTGTAATAATATACCCGCTATATATGGAAATGATATTCGTGTCTTTTTTTTTTTTTCCCCGTACACACATACCCACACGCCCCGCGTAAATACACAACCGTCGTCGTCGGCACAAAACTGCCCGGGACGTTTTACATTTATTGCCCGACCGGGGACGATACACCGGTTTCAATCGAAATCCGTGGCCCGCAGAGATCTGGAATACGTTTTCCGAAAATAGCGTCCGGAAGCCGGATTATTACGTTTAAATTTCTTCGCATTTGAATTTCGGCCATTCCTCCCCCTATCTCCTTTGTTGATTTCCAAGTCCTATAAATCTCCGTTCAGAATCGATTTTATATTATTCATATAATTGTATTTTATTATATTATTATAATTATATATTTGATCGTTATTGCTTTCGCGGTACAATATTTCTGCGTCCTGCCCTTACAACTCTCCAGGGGTTTTTGAAATTATATCGCACCGACGTCTATCCCTGTTTCGGACCACCACGTTTATCTTGCAACATTGTTCCACTACCAGATTGCTTAGATCTTCTCAACGGGTCTTTTAGACGAGGTCCGACGACTGGTACCGGTTGTGCGGAACAGTGTTTTTTGGAGGCTAGAATTACGTCCGCTTGAATGGTTCTAATTCATGTTGAACGGAGAATGGTGGAGTTATGGACGAAAGTGTAGCACGTAGCTAAGATACGAATGGCGCTGGTTTGTATAGCCTCATTTGATTTCCTGGAGTTTGACTCAGAGTTCGTACAAATGACTACACGCTGAAGTAGCATACAATTAACAACCTCATTTACCGACTTGTATGCATCGACGATCGCAAAATAACACCCAGTCGGAGGTTTTTATTTTTCTATTCTACATTATTATTATTATTATTATTATTATTATGGAGAAAGCGGATCTCTACAACAGCTCCTTTTCAAACTTTCGAGGCTTGGAAGCGTGTTTGCTGTTTGTATGGGCGGTGGATTTTTCGCGGGTTTGAGCTGCCGGCTTAAACCTAATGTCGGAACGCAGAGGTCGTGATGCGTGAGAAGCGTTTGCGTTATTTTACGGAAGTTAAACGGCAGATAGGTAGTTGATATTATAGGCCATAATGTATATACAGGGTATCGTAGCAGCTAAACGACGATAGTGTCCCGGGACCGAAGCGAATATTTTGCGAACATAACCCGGGCCGTACACGGGTCATTATTTCATTCAATCCGCGTACATTATACGCGTTTTATATTGTGTACGAGTTTCTTTTGTCGCGTGTACACTCGAAACGGATTGAATTGAATTCCAGTATATTATAGATATATATATATATATATATATATGTATACGTGTGCGTGCGTGAGTGCCTGTGTGTGTGTGTGTACCGAAAGTTCCTTTGAAACGACCCGATACAATGCACTCGAACCTATAGTATTTATATATATATATATATACTTTGCTGATTCGTACGGGGTGGCGCTTGTTCTGCAGGCGGGAACTTCTGTGGTGCATTTATTTAAAAAAAAAAAAATAAAAATAAAAAAATAAAATAAAATAATAATAAAAACCCAGTTCTCGTGTATATACGCGTATACGCGTTATACCTACGTATACGTACCTTTGTGCGCGCTGCGGGGACAAAAAGAAAAGACCTCGGCGGCGGAGAGAAATTCTCTCGGAATTACACGGGTAAAAAACAAAAAAAAAAAAAAACAGAAAATACTCGGCAGCTATATAATAGCGGCACAACTGTACAGTGGAAAAAAAAAACCGAACGAAATTATTTCGGCGTGGAATGTATATGTGTGCGCGGCGCGCGTTATAGACCGCCACGAAATAAAAAACGATTAATACGTCGTAAGACCCATAGCACTTTGGCCGCTTGCGGTGTATATATACGTTATACATATATATATAGTAACGATCGTAAAAAAAATTATCGAAAAAAAAAAAAAAGGGGTAAAAAAACGTATATATACACATATACACATATACGCACGCGCGTTATGTAATACCGACGACGCGGTATATATATATATATGTGTAATAATATAATATCAACTCATCCCGGGCCTTGTTTAATGGACCATAAAATCGGGAACGGTCGATTCCTGGCTTTTAGCACGGGATCCCGGGCGACCAATAACGGCGACGGAGGAGCTCTCCGATAATAGAGAAATATGATAAAAAAAAAAAAATAAAAATAATAATAAAATATTAAAAAAAAATCTCCACGGCTCGGCTTCCTGTTTAAGCTTTTTTTTTTTATTTTTATGAGTTGACTCTCCTCTCAGATAACGATTGTCACCGACGACCGTGTTATATTATTATATTACGACGCGATATGCGCGCGCGTAATATTTATACGATTACGCTCTATCAGCTAAACGCGCGATATTTTTAAATAATAATAATAATTCGACCGACGACCTTGTGTGCAATGATCGGTTCTGGTGGCCCGGCGATTCGGTCGCGTTTTTTTTTTTTTTTTACTACGGGCGTGATAACGGTTTTCTGGTCGGAACCCGATTTGAAAAATAACATATTTATTTATTTATCGTTATTGCGACAAAACGCGTTGTGAACTCGAACGGATGTATGCGATCGAATCGTTAAAAACCAAAGCACCGGACACCGTGCAGCGACATTGACTCGAGGGAGAGCGGGCTAAATGCGTTTTCGCTCGCGTCGTGGGCGTAGGTAAGACAGTTTTGGAGATTTCTACCACTCTCTAATAAAAATCGCAGTCAGTGTTTTCTTCCATGTAACAAAAAAAAAAAAAAAAGGACGCACATACTTCGCACATGGGTGTAGATGGAAATTCGGGAAGTCAGGGCACAGATGGGAATTTAATGTATATCTGTAAGCAACGGTAAACCAGTGCTAACGAAAAAACAATTCTGAGCGGAGTTCGGTCAATAGTGTTGCTTTGTCAATAATACAATGCATAGTATATA